TGCATCATCTCAAGAAGAGCATTATTCCGCCCCTTTTCAGATCACTAGCGACGGCTGTTTCTTTATCGACAAGGAGCCACAAAGGACTAGTGGCGACAAACAGTCACTCGCTGCCGATCTGAAACTCCATGAAGCAGGCAAAACAGAAGCCAGGTATGATAGAGGAACATTTACGACTGTTATTTGTTTACACTGACTGATTTCAGTCTTTCTGATCAGAATGGAGAGGAACCTGCGGATACAGTTGGAAGTGAGTGTGAATTAGTTAATAAGGTTGGTTGCGATGCGGAGTCAGAAGTCGCCGAAAATACTTAGTTTTACTGATCCTGTTCTTTGAAAATCAAATTTCAACGGGTTTTTTGAAGACCTCTTTCTTCTGGATGACTTGGGTCCAACTGCTTTTAATCATTTGTTAATTGAATATTGAGGTTGTAGCGGTAGTCCAGAAACGTTAGTTGATTTCGATTCGTATAGAAATTACTAAAATGCTCTCACTTGCTTTGCACAAACTCGACTTGACATCACTTTGGTCCATTTCTTACATTTTCTTGTTTCATGCTGCAGACTCCGCGACTTACCTCGCTATTTAGTTCGATTCGGCAAAAGTTAGTATTGTGCTTCTGTCGTAGTTGCACCCTCGCCATGTGCCGCTGCATGTACGTACTTGAAAATCAATTCTATTCCTTTTGACTCGCTTCCTAACATGCCTGTATTTGATAAGTTGCAAACGTAGCTCTCGAGAACTGATAGGTCCAAGTCTACCGGGTCCTGCCAGTGTAGGTGAAGCCGGAGATAAAGCTGTCCTGTCATTTTAAAAAACAGCACCACGTAGATAAACGACGTCAAATACTAAAAAAGCAACTCTTCGGCAACAATAACCCGCCAAGGATGAGAGCCTCCGGACATAAAAATAATAACATGCATAGCTCCAACATAGTTCCAAAATAGAGCTTCTCAGAGAACCTAAATCCCGTTGATCAGAAGCACGCACAAAGGAAAGCTACCAATTCCACCTAACACTAACCGGTCTGCTTAGAAATGAACATGCAATAAGGATTCTAGACAATGAGGCCAACGACGCTGGGAAGAACTTGAGCACTGGGAACCATCTGATAAAGAACGTGACGTGTGCCATAAACCCATAGTACTTCAGGTGGTTATCCGCAGGAAGAGATAGGCGGGACCATCCCGCAGTGACCTCCAGTCATTACACTGTCAGGTTGTGATATTGATGATTGACTTACAAATAGCTTCCAGTCGTTAGATTACCTCCCTCAACTCTGAGTAGATAGTAAAAGCTTTAAAATTTAACTACTAAAGTTAAAATGATATGTATTACTGATGACACCTCGACGTAGTTTAGTACTTTCAAAAAATAGTTTAATCACTTCTCTGACACACTACCAGTAATTCATCTGTACAGCCATCTCTGTAGAAGATAGTCATTTAATAACTCTTCCGTCGTTGGCAGCGTTTTTTAACCTATCTGCCAAAGATCGTGATGAGTGGGACTGTCTTTGGGCTTCTGACTTGGAGTTCACCAAGGCTGAAGCCCGCTGGAAAGTTGGTGGAGGGAAGCCGCTGACCAGTTTGGAGACACCACTGGAACCCAGTCCAAAAAGAAATTTAATGTCGTTGATGGTCAATTTGTTTAGCTTTTTTGAAGTAGCTCTGTAAAGTTAAAGCGTTAAAAAGTTGCCCGAGCTGTACACTGGAGTTACTAGTTGCTGAACATTTCACCTTTAGTTTTTAATAGAGGAAAATAATGAGCAAAATTACCCTTTAAGAACGCTCTCAGCGAGTGCCTTCTTTGATTCTTGCAAGTTTAAAACTCGTTGCTCTATCGTTTCATGGCATATAAACCTGTAATGAAAAATGTTTAAAGGTTAAAAGTTAACCAGTTGAGCAAAATGACGACTTCTCCAAAATTCAGAGGACGAGTTGAGAGTTATATCGAAGTTTTGCTGAAGCAGAAAAGGAAATAATGAGTAATCTCACTCTTTCAAACCAAACCAGTCTACATATTTAAAGAGTCAGACACTTCTTTCTAGCTCAATAAAACCTGAGAGCAATAGCATAAGTTTACTTGTAAATAAAGATATCTTTTTTTTGACCCATGCGATAAATGCGGTCGCACGCTTGCTGCTCTATTGCTGGATTCCAATGCAGGTCAAGCAGGAACAGATGATTGCCGCCAGTGAGATTTAAGCCAACACCCCCGGCAGTTAACGAGAGCAACATCACCCTGGCCCCACCATTCCTCCTGTTAAAGCTTTCAACACACTGCTGCCTAAAGTAATCTGCTGCATGCTGATGTGAAGAGGATACTAACTGTGAGCTCCCCTCTAAGTTCTTTTATTTTCAAAGGAAGCTTTTTAAAAATCAGAAACTAATGACTTTAAATTATTTTAAAGCTTATTTTAATTCAAAACTGAAAGGTATGTGCCTAAAACAAAGAACAAGAACGGAGTACAGAGCAAAGGATATTTGTATCAAAGAAAACATGAATCTCACTAACACTATACAGTTTACCTATTTTTTGGTAGCACTTTACCGGTAATGCAGGTATATTCGACTCCATACTGGGTAAGACGTTGCTCAATAATTTCTAGTAAGGACGTCCATTGACTCACTACAACACTGAAAAATATTTTAACCTAAATTTTTATTTGGAACTGCAAATATGCTTTCAGATGCGAGCAACTTCGAAACTATTTATCTCATTTTAGAAACAAACCTGAAGCTTACAAGTTTTATTCAAAGCAATTCTTCACAGCACTTACCATTTATCGCTCGTTTCCTCCAGCACACGGGACATTATCTTAAGCAACGCCTTTATCTAGAAATCGATAACTTAAAGAAACTTTTAGTTAAAGATCCTAAGTAACTGTAAGAATGAAGTTACAAAAAAC